CTGGCGTCTTGTGGTATGGGTATAATAATTGTTCTCTTAGTACTTCATGAACGGCATTCCTAGAAACTTCTAGTTCATTACTTATCCGTCTAGTACTCAATTCTGGATTTTCTTCAATACGGTCTAAAATTTCTACTTCGACTTCGGGAATCCTTACATAACGCTGTCTTCCATAATCACCAGTTCTAGGAGAAAAATGACCGGTCTCCCGAAGACGTCTCTCAACTGCAGCAAAGGTTGGGTGGCTTGGTACGCGACGATTTGGAAACCTTGCCGAATACACCCTCACACTCTCTCGACCATTTCCTTGACAATATCCGAATACCAATAACATATCGGTGTATTCTTCATTGGTGTATTGTACGGCCATGATAAATCAGAAAAGTCCGATATCAACAATCAACGTCAATAAAACTCGACAAATCAACACAAATGAAACTATGGAAACCAAGAATGTGAATATCACTGTTTTCGAGCAGATAATAATAGTCTTCAGAAAAAAAACCAGTGCTACTTATTTTCAATAGAAATAACCTATGCAAAAAGTACATCTCAACTTTTTGCGTTGTATAAATCTTTGTATACGTGAAAATGGTGAACATTTTGAACAATTTTTATGAAATATCTGTTAATCGTTTTATTATTGATTATGCTCTTAATCACTGAAATTAAAATTTTGTCGAAACCATTCGACCATTTGTCAAGAGTACCTTTTTTGTAGTGAATGAGTTGAACAATCTAGATTTCATATTGAAACTAACTTTTTCCATTGGCGTAGGAGTTTTAGATGTTTATTTACTGAAAAAAGCAAGTTCTACGCCCATGGAATAATATTCATTATGATTAGGATTTCAACTTTTTGCGTCGTATAAATCTTTGTTCACGCGAAAATAGTGAACATTTTGGAAAACTTTCATGCAATATCTATCAATCGTTTTATTATTTAAATATGCGCGAAATCACTTAAACTTAAATATTGTCGAAACCATCAGAGTAATCGAATTTTATCAAGAGTACCTTTTTTGTAGTGAATGATTTGGGCTATCTAGATGTCATACTGAAACTGATTTTTTTTCATTGGCGTAGAAGTTTTAGATGTTTATTTCCTGAAAAAAATCAAGTTCTACGCCCATGGAATGATATTCATTATGATTATGATATGAGTTTCATTGCCCGATGAGTCTATGCCAACGTACCAAATTTGAAAAAAATCTCATGAGCCGTTCAAAAGTTATGAAGCAAAATCGATTTGAAAATTTCAACTTCAGAGCCGTCTAGCGCCCAAACTAAGCAACTTTTTACTGAGGTAAGTTTGCTTGTATCGAATTGTTTTGGTCTGAAGAATATGTGGTAGCTTTTTGTAAAGACCTTTTAAGGACACCCTGTATAGAGAAGAAATGTTTGAAATCGACTTAGGTATTTTTTTATTAGATGCAATCTGTTTAGAGACCTGAAATTCTGCCAAAATATAGTAATCGCCCTGTATATATATTCATGGTAACTATCTGAAAATTCGTCACAAGAAATACTTAGATGAAAAAAAAAATTTTTGCTTATAACGATTTAGGTATTTTTTTTATTATTAGATGCCATCTGTTTAGAGATCTGAAATTCTGCCAAAATATACTCATCGCCCTGTATATTCATGGTAACTATCTGAAAATCCGTCACAAGAAATACTAAGATGGAAAAAAAAAGTTTTTCTAAAAACGACTTAGGTATTTTTTTATTAGATGCCATCTGCTTAGAGACCTGAAATTCCGCCAAAATATAGTCATCGCCCTGTATATTCATGGTAAGTATCTGAAAATCCGTCACCAAAAATACTCAGATGGAAAAAAAGTTTTGCTTATAACGATTTAGGTATTTTTTTATTAGATGCCATTTGTTTAGAGACCTGAAATTTTGCCAAAATATAGTCATCGCACTGTATATTAATGGTAACTATCTAAAAATCCGTCACAAGAGATACTAAGATGGAAAAAAAAGTTTTTCTAAAAACGACTTGGGTATTTTTTCATTAGATGCCATCTGTTCAGAGACCTGAAATTCTGCCAAAATAAAGTCATCGTCCTGTATATTCATGGTAACTATCTGAAAATCCATCACAAGAAATACTTAGATGAAAAAAAAAAGGTTTTCTTAAAACGACTTAGGTATATTTTTATTAGATGCCATCTGTTTAGAGACCAGAAATTCTGCCAAAATATAGTCATCGCCCTGTATATTTACGGCGACTATCTGAAAACCCATCACAAGAAATACTTAGGTGGAGAAAAAAAAGTTTTTCCTGAAAATGTCTGGTATTTTTGGGCGCTAGCGCCAGTTGAGTATGAAATTCTCTGGTGTGAACTGGGCGCTGTGGTGGGGGGTGGGCGCTGTGTTTGAGCGCTAGCTCCCGACGCTAACTTCACATAAGTCGTACCCTCGGGCACACAAGCCGGTAGCGAAAGATACATCTCCCTCCACTGGAATTCACTTAAGTACCCCCTCTCTGGGACATTTATTCATTAAGGATTTACTTTTCGAAGATATTATTAATGTAGCTTATTTATTTATTTATGGTTATAGTACATTAATATTTCGCCGAGTGGGCACCTCATAATATTCATACCCAGCAGTTTGAATTTGTGCAGAAACAAGTTATTTACCTCGGTGGGCGGCTCGGTGGTCGAGAGCGCGAAGGCGCTGAGTTCGTATGGGGACTCCCACCGAAGCATGGGTTCGAATCCCAGTTAGGCCATGGATGTTTGTAAATGTATGCTTTCTTAACCCCGCACAAGTTTCGACTTATGGGGCGTTGGATCCAGTGCTGGGTCCAACGAGGAAATGCAATTGAAAAAAAAAAATAACCTCTCCTCTATATTAATATACCTGACCTTGGACTGGAAATATTTACCCGTTTCTGTTGAATTATTCCGAGCGAGTTTGGCGTGGAGCTATATTCCGCTAGGGTACGGCGAATCACTTCCTACCCAAATCCTACCGACCGATCAGCCTTACCTCGTTCCTATTAAAAACTCTAGAAATAATTCTAGACATGCATATTAGAGAAGGGAATATGAGGTAACACCACCTAAATTCCCATCAATATGCCTACCAAACAGGCAAATCAACGGAACAATCTTGTAGGAAAGATCAGTCATTCCTCAGATCATAATAAAATTGCGCTGGCAGGTTTCCTGGACATAGAAGGAGCGTTCAATAATGCCCTACCACAATCTCTCTATATGGCAATGCAAGGTAGAGGAATCAGCAGTCAAATATGCAACTGGATCAAAACCATGATTGTGAATCGGTACGTCATATCATCACTGCATGGAGAGTCGATCAGGTTTAGAGCGGCAAAGGGTTGTCCACAGGGCGGGGCACTTTCCCCCGCTATGTGGTCATTCCTAGTTGACTCTCTGCTGAACGATCTTTCCATGCAGTGGGTGGATTTCCAATGCAATGCAGATGATCTAGTCCTAATAATAAAAGGGAAATTTGAAGCGACGATCTGTGTACAAATGTTGCGAGAGGAAGCAGATGTCTGTGAACCCCCGGAAAACTGTAAAAAACCCTCTTGGGGTTGAAGCCGGTGTGTCCAGCAGAAAACCGGAGACGGAAACCTATGTCAATCTCGGTAAGTATGTTACAAACTTTCAAGAGGAGGTCTTCGCAATCAAATTGTGTGCTAGAGAGTTGACGAATAGACCGCTAGTAAACAAAAACATCAGTAATGTATCAGAGACTCAGGTTGCTCTTAAAGCACTGAGCTCCAGCAAGATAAATTCCAAGCTCGTATGGAGCTGTATTGAATTCCTAGAATGCCTGGAAGCAAACAACAGACTTACTTTGCTATGGGTGCCTGGACACCAGGAGGTGGAGGGCAACGAGAAATCCGACATCCTCGCCAAACAGGGAACAGAATCTGTGTTTATAGGACCAGAACCATACTTTGGGATCACCGCAAGTGCGGCCAAAGCAACTATCTTGGACTGAGCGGAGAGGAAAAGACTCACGTTCTGGTCTGAATTACCAGGATTAAGCAATTTGAAGGCGTTTTGCCTAAACCATAAAATATAACCAGGCAGACCCTAGAATGGAGCAGGGGTAACCTGCAAATTCTGACAGTACCGCTTACGGGACACTGTTGTCTAAGATACCACCTGGGAAGGATGGGTCTGAACCAACAAACGGACTGTCGGTTCTGCTGTGTGGAAGACGAAACGGCTGAACACATATTATGTTCATGCCCTTGCTCAGAGAGACTGAGTTTCGACATATTTGGCTTTACCAATTTAGAACCTATCGATTTCAGACAAATCTCACCTAATTCAACCATGGACCCATCTACCTATACCTGTCTGTTTCTCGTTCCAGCTTGGTTACTCTTGCGAGAGCTAGGAAATTTCATCCTTTTTAGTGGAAATCACCAACTTTTCATATTCCTTGCACCACTAAAACGATATAACTTGTCTCTTACCTAAATATTTGTAGTTAGCTCTCCCTTCCTGTCAAGTCAGTTGAGAAAAGAGAACATTTTAGTAATTTACGTTTTCTTTTCGAATTCATATCAAAATGATTATACAAATTACTTGGCGCCTTTTTTTTCTTCCGAGCAATCCACCCCAAGGCACCGCTGTGGCAAAATGATTGGCATAATTTCAGCTGTTATTTCGTTTTTTATCAAAATGTAGATAACAGGATGTTTCCTTTGCGAATATCCAAACGTGCCGTGATTCAAACTCATTCAAGTTAGTGGCAGTGTCAATATTTCCGAGAATATTTCGTACCCTATAAGATCCGCTTCACAGTTCGCCATTTTCCAGAAACCTGCAGCACTTTCCATTGGGTGCCTAGGCACTAGTGGAATCAATTGCATGCAAAGAAAAATTGGAAAATAATCTTGAGTTTTTTTAGTGATGCCATTCGATCGGACACATCAACATTATTATGAATTTATTTCAATATCACCCTGGATTATAGGAATCTTGTGAATCTTAAAATTTGTATTTGATATTATTTTAATGCCAAACTATCAAGTTACATTCAAAGCGTCCTTCTGGATAACTAAAGATTTTAGTAGAGAATGACAAGAAAATCGTATGGGTGCCATCGTATGTATAGGTCCTTCCAAATACTGAAAAAGTTGAATCAGCATATAATAGCAGTGGAACAAATAATATTCACAAACTCACCTTTTTTATCGTTTTACGGCCAGAATCTTTTTCAAATAAGTGTCTGTTTGGTTTTGTTGTTGAGTTCAGATTTATTTTTGTATTTGGAGTTATTGAACTAAACACAGTGTATTCATCACTTTCTACTTCCATGGTGAATTCAGGAACGGTCTGATTACCACTGAGACAGTATAGCTCCTGAAAAAATGTTTGAGTAGATGAAACAAAAATGAAAACAATATTTGAACATCAGGACATACCTTTTCTGAAGTAATAAAATAGATATGGGACCTCTCAAACCAATTCAAACGTGAATCATTGCTGTATCTACTGGGAATGAAACTCGCTGTTAGTATATTATTGAATTGTTTCAACAAATTTTTACTTTCATATATCGGTTCAGGGGATCCAGGGGAAAATACAAAAACTGAAAATAATAATATTTCTCATTTTGTTGGATTGAGATGAACTTTAGGATTACATAGTTTTTGCAGATAAAATTGTCTAGTTGAAAATTGATAATGAAAATAATTAAAATAATTATTCAATGTTTTTTTTTAATTTGAATTTTACTCAAGTTAAATTATACAGGTCATTTCAGTTTCAATTTGCCAAATACAATGCACCACAGAACAATTCAAAATGAGAGAAAAAGATCTATGAATTTCTCAGAGCAATAACAGTATAATATAGATGCCTCCGTCTCTAAATACTACATTGATTTGACAGAAGAGGTTAGTAGAAGAGAGAGGTTGTCTCGTTGCTACGCGGTGTGCGACGAGAGACGGAAAAGGCACGTCATTGAGAGTGCCAGACAAATTGTTTACATTGAATCTTGTACTGTGATCACTGTTTTAATCCATTTCATTGGTTTATTGCCCCATTTTGTTAACTTGTGTTCCTAATAAACTTATTCTAGATAGTGAACCAGGCTGTGGAAGTTCTTTCAAGGGTTATTATTAAAACTATAGGTAGGAACCTACCTATTTGTGCTATTGCGCCATCAAAAGGTATGAACTAGGTATGATATTGTGTTGGGATAAGCAGATAGACATAATTAGAGGTAAATACAATTTATATTGAGAATCTTTGTTGAAAAAGAGGGAAAAATACCTACCTATGTACTGTAACTATCATATAGGTACGGTACAAGATAAAATAAAAATTATACTTAGCGATATCCATTCTACTCCACATAATTTCGTTTTGATATATGTTATCTCAATTAATCAATTAGGGAGATCGAATAACAGCAATAAAAATGTTAGAACTGTCGATTTCTTCAGTCTTTCAGTCTCGGAATTGCCACTACTAAGCTGTATGGAATGAATAGGTAGCCAAATCTACTTCGAATGAGTAACTTTATTACAGGAAAAATGCAATATTAGACATCTATCTTTTTTACATTGTCATTATCTCTCAAAAGTCAAAATGAAATATAATACAGAGTGTCTTCCAACACACTCCCACCTTGTGTCATCCTTTCATCAAAGGTATGAAACAATCAATGTCCATATCTATCAGGAACTTTCACGTGTCTTCCAGATCTTGTTGTAGACATCACCTGATCTTCTGTTTTCTTCGTCAACTTCTCTACATCAGTGTTTGTACGAATATTTCCATTCCCTTTCGAATCTGTACGTTTAGGTAACTTTTCTGAATTATTCATTTCCATCAAAGTTAGTCGTTGTACTGGTCTCAGCAATTCACCTGTAGCAGTTTTCAGCTTAACCAACCTGACTACACCATCACGTCCAGGAATAGTTTCAACCACACGGCCCATAGGCCATTCAACCTTTTTTTTATTGAAATCCGAGATCAAAACAATGTCTCCAACTTTGAGCGTCTCATCAGATGATTTCTTCGAGAAAAGAGTGAGTTGGCCCAAATACTCGGATTTGAATCTATTGTTCGAATCTTTCCTGAGTTTCAAACGATACTTTAAACGCCTACTCAGATCTTTGGCTTCAACTGAATCGATATCGATCACACCAACTTCTTTGATGTCTTGTAAGAACAGGACTATACAATCACTTGGATCCTCTGACATATTCGTGAGTGGGCGGGTGTTCAAAACTGCTCCACAATCACAGAGAATAGTCTGCAATTCTTCGAAATCAAGGCTCGTTCTTCCAAGAATTTTTCTTAACAACTCTTTCATCAGCCTTATGAGGCGCTCCCACCAACCTCCCCACCATGCAGCTGTTGGAGGATTAAGTTTCCAGTCTATTTGGTGGATTGTTGCACATCTTTCCGCTACTTCCAACCAATTCAAGCTATTGAAAGCGTTTGCACATCCAACAAAATTTGTTCCACAATCTGTATATATTGTTGAAGGTCGACCTCGGCGGGCAATAAATCTTCTCATTGTCTGCAGAAACGCATTACTTGATAAGGATGATGTTAAGTCAAGATGCACAGCTCGGTAGATAGCGCAAGTATACAGTACAATCCAAACTTTTTCATTTGACTTGAGGTACAAAGGTCCTGCTAAATCTATGCCTACAATCTCGAACACTGCAGCATCACGAACCCTGTTTTCTGGTAGACATATGGCAGGAGTTTCAAGAAGTTTTCCTCTAAATCTCCTGCAAGTGATACATCCATTGATTACTGATCTAACAGTGCGTCTACATTGGAGAATCCAGTAATTTTCTCTTAGGATACTCATCAAACCTTGAACTCCAACATGGTTATTCCTGATATGTTCTTCAGAAATCAGACGTTTCACAACTTCATGATTTGAGGGCAAAACATATGGCATACGAAAATTCTCTGCATCCGCTCTATGTGCTATTTTAGTGCGCAACCTGATTAATCCTTCGTTATCAGTAAAAGGGCACAAAGATGATAGCTTAGGATCTTGATCCAACTCAAAACTTTCTTCTTGTATAAAACGAATGATCAATTTTCGTGATGCCTCTAGCTCATTTACAGTCAGAAAGTTTTCGGTTTTTTCATTTTGTTTCTTACAATTGTTCACAAATCGTTTGATCCACGCCATCATGTTGACAATTTTGCTGAATTTGGAGAAATATTTATAGTACCATGAATAATCATCAGGTATAGATAGGGCGGAAACAACTGCTTTCCTTCTCTCGCAATTGATTTCCTCTTCATTGTAGTCGAAACATTGACTAGGCCATCGTGTTATTGGATCGTGTAACCATATTGGACCCTCCCACCATCTTCCATCAGCTAGTCAGAATCGACATGGGGAGAATGTTCAAATTGCAATATTGGTTATAATTGTTGGAAACAATATGTATACGATGTTGCTGTACCAACATTTGTGAAACAATATTATATAATATTTATATATTTTTCCACATATTTTAAACGAACTTCCCAACCAATATTGCTTCAATATTGTAGCTGACAATCACATTTAGCCCAGGTTGAACCAATATTCCACCGATATTATCATTCCATGTATTTTCAATATATATACCCTCATATTGGACCAATATTATTTGTACATTCATAATATATCTCGGTCGGTCGGTCCAATATCAGCCAATTTGATGTGCTACCTGGAGACAATATAACCATTTGCTATCAAAATGAAATGTAGTAATATGAAATTACCATTAATGGTTTCCTAACGGATTTTATCAGATTTTTCAGGTGAGTAACAAATTATATCTGGCAAGAGCGCATCATCAAGATATTCAAGTGCATTTGTATAAGGATGGCCCAATCCCTATGCTGCAATGTAAACACCTAGAAAACAATGCGGTGACGTCAGCTAAAGTTTATGCATATGTTTGATGGCATGTGTTTCTATAATCACAGGAGCTGCGTTATATGTGAGGCTGAGCCAACTTGCTGACGTCAAAGACGAGATTATAAATTCAATTGATTGAGCAATTCTTTAAAGAAGCAGTGTAATATCCTTGCATCACACCTATGAAATTTAAGGTTCTGTTTCCTGTTCATAGGCTTTACTAACGTTAGTCAGAACTTATTAATACTATATTCTTCTGTACATATGGAAAAACCTTTGGATGAATTCAGAAACGAAAAAATGAATGATATTCCGGCAATATTAATGGAATTACTCCCTGAAAGGGTTTGCAAGAACCAGATTTTTTTCGAAAACAGTTAAAAACTTGAAAAAACTATGTAACCCTGGTGACCAATTACTATACTTGTAAAATTTTTCGCACCTTTCCTATCTTGTGTAATAACTGCCATGTAAGCCAACAGTGGATCAAATATCAACGAAAATACTGCAAGGGGAACAGTCCACGTCATAGACAATGTCAAAATATTCCAAACACTCAGCTGATAGTCACTAGCACTGACCAATAAGTGACAGTGGTTTCCATGTCCGAACTGCACCCATTTAAGCTTATCCCGGTAAATTGGATGGCTCAAAGAACATTTCAACTCACAAGAATCAGGCACCCAAGCAGTCAAAATTTGTCCGAAACCTATAGCCATCAGTGAACCGTCCATTGCAAAGGAGAGAGTTGAACACGGCAAGTCTCTGTAGAAACCGACTCCATGACATTTCCAGGCCAAGCTCTTTTCTACAAAAAAAATATCATTTACTTTTTCTACAAAACTATTAGTTATCAAATTAAAACTATTCTTCTTTCTAAATCCTTCAACCATTTCATATTCATCATTTTTCTAATATTACTTTCTTTGTGAATTTTACATGTGTAAAATTCTCGATTTGATTCAATCAAATTCACCGCAGATAAAGAAATCAGCGATAGATTGTCTTTCTTGATTACACTTGTGATTAGAAAAAACAAATAACATAAATGAATTATAATTTTACATTTATAGTGAGATAAAAGAATATGTATAAATAGATACCAAGTGACTCGCAACATTGTTTACAGCATAAACTTTCAGCTTTGAATTATTTGGTTCATACATTATTATCTTTTCCGTCAAATAAAATACAGGATGTGTCATTTAAAAATCGGAAATTGAGGGAAATTTCCGGACACACCGGAAGTATGGCAAAGCAGGTAGATAATGGAAAAATCACCTATGTGGGCAGTTTCTTATGCAAAAAACTAGGTTCCCTAAACAATGCAATGATAAATTAGATAATTGATTAGGATTTTGTGTAACCATTCACTGTACGCGAAAAATCAATAAAGCCTTTTTGATAGGAAATTTCATGATGTTCAATTTTGTTCATCTACATTTTTTCACTAGAGGCCGCGATTTTCGAATTATTCGATAATAACTTGAAAAAAGTAACTTCAAACGCTCCCCTACCGCCCCGCTCATTCCCAACGGGTCAGGACTTTTAGTATGTTATTCATGGCACTCCCCTCTACCACTCTCAGAAATTAGCAACTACGCGATTTATTTCTCCTATATTTTGTTCGTTTACTGAACTAGTTACCACTGTTGTTATTGTTCAAATTGATCAACTTTTATCTCCACCCAAAGACTATGCACCTTTGAAGTTGTAGCCAACCCTACAGAAGGGGAAACCTAGTGTTATAGGGTGAACCACTGAATGTATAGGTGGATATTTTTTACAACTTCATTTGGTTAAAGCGATAATTATAATACTAAAAATCAATCGTTGGGGGGTATAGGGGGTGGTTTGGAGGGTTGATAATACCCCTTGATAGGTATTTGATTATTACACTAGCGGCTGACAGTATTTTTAGTTGCGAAAAGTGTGACTCCTAAGTGTTACCAGATAGACATTCTTGGTGTATGATTCATTCTGCAATGAAATGGGAACCATGTGTTTGTCTAGGAATTTAGAAAAAGTGCAAAAAATATACCTATATGTGCCCATTTATTACCAGAATGGAATTACAGTGGGAGTGATTGAATTTATGAAGTGAATCAAGGACCTAAGCATCTACCAGTGTTCAAAATGTCAAAGAGACGCCTTCCAGCTGAATATTTTTGAAGAAAATCAGGTCTATTCTTATACACTTGATTGAAATAAGAAATACAACCAAACATGGACAGAAGGCTGATTTCATGGAGGCAGATGTTAAAAAAAATGCATACAGGGTGATTGCAGTTCATATTAACCATCATATTCATATACTAATAAATTGGAATATTCATATTCATAGACAGTGATTGATGAATTGATAGAATGAATTGTTGCTGGATGTATTATAATATAATAATAATATAATAATATTCTTTTATTACCCATAAAAACAAAATCATGTACAATATTCTTCTATAATGAAGAAAAGGGTAAAAGGTATTCGGTTCAGCTCACGGCCACAGCCGTGTCTGATCTTCCACCGACACCTGTAACAATTATTATACTTAATAATTCAGATGACGATAACCTAAAATACCGACAATGTGGGTGGACCTAATTAATAGAAAGTATGACTGCAACACACACACAAAAAAGAGAGAATAGGCGAGGAAGAAAACAGGAGAGAGAAGGAAACAGAAAAAGAGAAAAAGAGAGATATCACTGAACGCTCAGTAGATGTTTCTTATACATATCCTTGAAGCTATCACAAGAAGTTTCCAGAAATGTGTTGCTCAAATTCATGGAGTTGAACAGTTTGAAAAAATCATTGATGCAAGCTGCTGATGCATATGTAAAGCTGCGTCTATACAATACTTTGAAGTGCTTGGGTATACTTAAAAGTGTTTTTCAAGGAATATTCAGATTATGCATCACAGTGATTAAAATGGGACAGCACCAGACTATCACAAAGCATTTTCTTAACGTCAATTGATAAATATTGACGTTGTGGGTATATTAACTTCAAAGAGGCATAAGCTGCTTTCAGCTTATTAGTCAGTCCCAGATTTTTACTTTCAGTTTTAAAAGGGACAAGTGTATCGCCGACTTGGAGAGAAATGTTGTCATGAATTTGCTGCTTTTGTGATTCTTTACAAAATATGAGTGCAGAGCACTTTTTTGGGTTAAGTTCAAGTCAAGAGCATGGTCAAGTGATAACATATAAAGCGCCGCCAATTCATTATTAATATTAGTTTCAGTTTGTCTTATCTCAGAAATATCAAAATGATGATACAGCTGAGTGTAGCATAAAAATGATAATTACAGCTGTCTAAGCAGTTGATGAAGTTTGAGGTATATAAAGTGAATAATAATGGTCCCAAAATATTGCCTTGAGGAACCCCAGAGTGTACCTCCAAAGTTGAAGATTTTTTATCTTCAATTTGCACAAATTGTACCCTATCTTCAAGATATGAACTCAGCAGTGAGCTAGCTGATGAACTGAAGCAGAAGAAATGAAGCATTGATTTTTAATTTGGAAAACTTTTTTATTTGTAATTTTGAATGGAATATACTTACTATAAACTGTAGAGCAATCCACAACTTGCCATATTTTGAACTTTTTATCATTTCCAACAGTTACACATCTCAGATATTCATCCCTCAGAGTAGGTTGAAACAATAAGCAATTGATAGAATCATCATGAGGATATTCAATAGAGGTATTCAAAGTGAACCTGCAAAAATATTATAATAAAAAAATACCCTACATAAATTATAATTCATACGTTTGTTTAGACTCATCAAAATTCCAAAACTTTAGCCTTATTTCATTATGGAAATCAATATCTTTCCTCTCTTCAACACTAGCTAGCCAAAGACCACTTTGGCTAATAGCTACTTTAGTTATCTCAGTATTCAAGATGACACATTCTCGTTCATTAGTAACTTTATTTTGTCCAACTATATCAACCTAAAAATGTTTGGTGAATTATGGAACTTCATGTTATTCAAAATTCTGTCAAACATACACTATACAAAAGTGACATATCTTCAGGTGTATAAAATTGTAGTTGTCCTTTATTTCCATTCATGATTAAAGCCTTAGTTCTAGGATCATAGACAATTCCACTATCATAGTGTTGCCCCAGAACTAAATGTTGTATGAGAGTTAATTGATTCAATGTTGAATCAAATATTTTTATTGCATTATCCTGTGTTGCAACTGCTACATACAAATTATTGTTAGCAACAACAATTTGATTTATTTCTGCAGCTAGACGTGGCACAAATTTTTTATCATTCACATTTTCTAATTGCCACTTTACTAAAACACATTCCTCTCCACCACTGTAGAAATAGCTTCCAGATGTGGAAAAACACACAGTTCGAACAGGTAATGTATGCCAATGAAACACAGTTTGAATTTTTTCTTTTGAGAATAGATTCTGCCATACTAAGACTCTTCCTGTACTGTCACCAGTAAGTACTATTTGCTCTGAAGGATGACAGGCAACACATGTAAAAGTTCTGCTATCATGTATACTACATCTGAAATAATCAGGAAAGTATGAAAATAAGTGTGGATGTAATATAGTAACCTTACCTTGATATAATCCTGGGGTCTGTTAGATTAACAAAATGAAGCCTATTTCCATGGGCCACAGAAAAATACTCATTATTACTGATGTTCATAAAATAATTGTTTTTATCACATGGTATTTGCAATTTAATTTTCTTAGAAGTCTTTTCTTGAATATCTGTGATTGCAAACTGAATTTTTTCTTTGCTCTGATAGGATATCACTGCTTTCAAATTTGAACTAGTTGAAAAAATCACATTGAAAGTTTTCACTATTTTGAAAGGTAATTGCTGGAATATACATATGACAAATAATAGGTGTCTAACTAGGTATAATTACAACATTTTACCTTTTCCAATACTTTGGTGTGTGTAAGAATTTTCCATGAAATTGTTTTACCACTCTCAGAGCATACTGTGAGGCATTGGTGAGAATCATGGATATGATAGTTAAATCCAACTATATTGGTTGACAATCCCTTATATTCATATATCAGTTTACCTGTTTTGGTGTTATATTCCAACACAGTGTTCTTGGAACACACAAAAATACTCCTGAAATTGATAGGAATGTTATGAATTTTTTAAATGCAAATTTCCAAGTGAACTCACTTGCCATCACTGGAAAATATTGGGGGCAGTTTCACAAACGATCCACCTCCTTTGTAAACGACAGACACATCCATTTCTTTCTGTATTCCCATGTTGTGCTGAAAAAGTTTTTAGATTATCTACTGAATATTTCTTTCGCATGAAAATGAAAGCCTCACATTTCATACAAACTTCAAGACCTGGTTTAGAGCTGAGCACACCTGAGTGTGCCAAGAAGCAATAAATTATTTAAAATTTAAATTGATATAACAACACTACAACCATAGGTCGCGTGCACGAAGACCGACCCTGGAGGCAAAATATCGAAACACAACCTCATTCTTCTGTGAATTATTGAAACACAACCTCACTCTTCTGTGAATTATTGAAACACAACCTCACTTTTTTATTTGGTTACAGAGGAATCAAAAGGTTGAAATATTTTTTCACAATATTTTGGCATACGAATCGTGTTTCTTGCGTTATTCATTAATTCAAGCATGCCTTCGCATTGTGATGTTGTACAATGCACAAAAAATGCAGCAAGAGACTAGGGAATATGATTTTTCAGGTAAATAGTAATCTCACATAGTTATCATTATGAAATGTTGTCATTCCTTATTAAAATTCCTTCTGCCTTCTGCCACTTCTGCAATTCAAGCTAATGTAGATTGAAAATGTCTACAACACACACGATCGTCAGCATGTCAGACCAGTCCTACCGATTGATTGTATGAATCCAATCTTCTTGCATTATTCTAGAAATTTCAGGTATATTTCTATTAGCTGATCCTATTGCAGAAGGAATTCCGATGAGAAATCAGAGAAATAACCAAATTTCAAAAATGAAAACTATGAGAGTGACTATAGTAGGTACTTACTTTTGAATCATAATGTACCATCCGGATTTCTTCATCTTTTGCTGCAGTTTTTGTGCATTTTACAACAGCACAATGTGATGGCATTAGCGAATTGATGGATAGCGGAAAAATACGATTCATGTGCCAAAATAATTGTGGAAAACTATTTCGATCATTTGTAAACAAATATGTTTTGCCTCCAGGGTCGGTCATCTGACAGTTCTTGCACGCGACCTATACACATAAAACATAACCCTATTGAGGAATTATTCTTCTTCTGTTCTTCTGGCCTGAACCCACAAGTTATGGTGACAGAAGTTGCGTTTTATTTGTTCCATTCTGGTAACGGTGGTGGTAGGAACAGAATGACGTTCCAAAATAAAACGACGACGAAACAGATGACCTTGCATGAGATTTAGAATTGACCAGTGGAATTGACATTATTATAGATGAATGAAGAGGTTACATTTATATATGGGGGCTAGATTGGGGCTCCGAATAGTTTCAAAATCATAATACTAGAGTTGAAAATTAAGAAAATGATCAGTGCATATTCGAAGCAGTGATTGTGGACATTGTGGTGGTTGGATAAAGTTCTCCGACATCGAGAGAATTCATCTTATCTGGAAATGGCGGTATAAAACTGATTAAACTTACTTGAAATAATCATAAACTTGTGAACTTCACGATAGAAATGTCTTCTATACTTCATTTCAATTTCAATTCAATCTAATAATTGAATTTTTTGACTACTGTCCCGACGGAGACTGAGGCAACCTTAACTGATATATTAATTTTTTCAATTGTGATCTTGCGCTAATTTACTGTCAGAAATCATGTATCATTTATCTCTGTCTGGAATAGTCTTGTTTGAGTATTAGGGCTTTGACGTCACATCATCGCCTCGTTTTCAGAGGTCCGAGAAATCGGAGATTTCAATATTTTTTTATAAAACGTAGGGAGCTCACAGCAAGAAACGGTTTGCGGTGGTGAGCTAGTTTGGGTTAGGGTCCCTTTTAGGGTCCCTTGATGGAAATTGACGTTAAAGTCAATGAAAAATACGTCAATTTGGATCAAGGGACCCTAGTTTGGGTGAGTTCTATCGAATTATGAAATACATTTTTATGTGATATAAGCCCATTTATGGCACCCGAAAAAAAATTCTTGTGCACAGTAAGCACAAGCAAAGGATGTAGTGTCCTAAAATAGAAAAGAATGTCATCGATGAACATTATAGGAATTCCCTTTCGTGCGCTCCAAGCGATAAAAAAAAAAATGAATCCATTGGAAGTTAACGCAATAATTAAAATGAGAATATTGTTTTTCCTTGTGATTGTTGAATGACAAATACGTCAGTTTGCATCAAGGGACCCTAGTTGTGATTCGTTCATCTTGGTATTTACGGAATGGAAAACTACTAACCGAAATAACCAAGTTGATTTACGGAATATTGATCATTCTAGAACACGTGATTTTGACATGGTTTCTTGAGGGGCACACAAATTATCTGTTAGGTCACCTTTGATGAGCATTGCCCAGGCCTTCCCTCTGCCACATCCACAATATAATAACAGTTTCACCAAACAAAATTATGAAATTCTTTCTGGTTCCAACTCGGATTCCAAGGAAAACGATCCCACTAATTCTGGTTTTCTATGACAGATCTTGACAAAATACAATGTTTGCCCCTCAGCAACCTGTCAAATGACGTAATTGTGGAATGATTAATACCCCGGATAATTAAAACGCAACTGTGACGCAACTATTAACTGTCACTCCTGTCGTGCCAATTGTCGTGCAGTCGTGCTTGCACTGATTGCAGGTTATGTTTAAGATGACAGGAATTTTTTTATTTATTTATGTTTTATTAGTTTGAGAACTAAAGTTTCAGGATGGCCCACTCGTTATCGACAGATCTTAACGAGGCAGTTTTGAAAAAAACTACCAATTTATCACATTTAAAAGACAGGGTTGCAGGATACAACTGGAATCAAGAATTAGATTATGATAAATTACTCAAGAGTTATCTGCACACTGGATTTCAAGCCACCAACTTTGGTCTAGCTGTTGAGGAGATTAACAAGATGATACATTGTCGGCAGCAGCCAATTCCTGGTGAAAAATTCATTGACAATGATGACGAATTCACAGTGGTCAAAAATAATTGCACAATATTCTTAGGCTACACATCAAATCTGATTTCTAGTGGTTTGAGGGAAACTATTAAGTTTTTAGTAGAACATAAGTTGGTACTGTTCAGTTTTACATTTTATTATAAGTTATTTTTTGAGGGATTTGTAGATAGACTGTATAGTGACTACAGCTGGTGGCATAGAAGAGGATTTCATTAAATGTCTGGCTCCTACTTTTCTGGGAGACTTTCATTTAGATGGTAAAACTCTCAGAGATTGTGGTATCAACCGAATAGGAAACTTACTAGTCCCCAATGACAATTATTGCAGTTTTGAAAATTGGATAATGCCAATATTGGACCAACTATTGAAAGAACAGAATGATGGGGTACTTTGGACTCCTAGTAAGATCATTGAAAGACTTGGGAAAGAAATCAACCATGAAAGCAGTATTTATTATTGGGCATCTAAAAATAAAATCCCAGTGTTTTGCCCAGCCCTAACAGATGGTAGTATTGGAGATATGATGTTCATGCATTCTTTCAGAAATCCAGGATTGGTTGTAGATATTGTTGCAGGTGAACAAATTCATTAAACCAGTATCTAGTGAAATGAAGCTTCAGACCAAGAGCAAAAGTAAAATAAAAAGTTCTTGTAAAAAAATATTGTTTTTTAAATTAATTTAAATCAAATTTCAAATAAGATGATTTCACTTTCTTGTAATTATCAAATTTCATTATTAAAAGATGTTTTTCAAGCTCAAAAGAAACTGTTTTCAAGAAAAATTGTGTCAAAATTATTAGAGATCAACTTGTGAATTAAGGTGCCTTCAAACCCTCACCAGGAGCTCATTTCTTGCACACCCTTCTAATTTCAGTGTGTACTAATGATGCATAGGAACATGTTAATAATGCAATATAAAGAGATGAAAGGAAGGAATTTCAGGTTTAATGGAAGAAGCACAGATTCATTGTAGTGTGGAGGATTATTTTCTCACTGAAACTTCAGATACCCTCCACCACCAATGGTCTGTGTATCCCTGTTTGGGAATGTCTTCTCTAAACCTGCAAGGTTGTTAGGTTTCAATATAAATAAATTTCACAGCACCATTATTATGGTATTTGACTTGAATATTTTGTAGATCTGAGGAGGATCAACTTGATGGCAATGAAATCTGTGAACACTGGAATGATAATAGTTGGTGGTGGATTGGTGAAACATCATATTTGTAATGCAAACCTCATGGTAAGTCATTAATATTGTTAAAGAAAGGAAGAAAACTATATTTATTTCCAGAGAAATGGTGCAGAATATTCAGTTTATCTTAATACCTCATCTGAATATGATGGCAGTGATTCTGGAGCAAGACCAGATGAAGCTAAGTCATGGGGAAAAATAAAAAAAGATGCTTCCCCAGTTAAAATATATGCTGAAGCAACCTTAGTTTTTCCATTGTTGGTAGCTCAAACATTTGCCAAAGTGTTAATTGATGATAAACATGAATAATAAAAAATAGTGTAAAATGCAGATCATTGTTTTTTATTGCCTACTATACTTTTTTATATAAAAATGATTACAAATTATAATAACAAAATATAAATTTCAATATAATGAAGTAATAATAATAATGCTTAATTGGTACTCATAGAACACATAAATTCATGAGAGCATTTCAAATATAATAAATAAATAATATGTGTGGAGTATACTAAAATATTTTTTGTCTGGATAATTCAACAGCTTTTGATAGGATAACCTGTACATCCATAGGAGGGAAATTTTGCAGAAGTTTCAAATTGGACGGGAAATCTCCTTGAATCAATTGATTTCGTAATATTCTGAAAAATATTAGAACTTGATAGTGTTCCTTTATGCATAAAATGATAACTAACATGATCATTGCACAGCATACTTGAATGAGAAAATCAAACCTGTCTCTATCAGAAAATAGAGAGTCCCATATCCTCAGAACATCAGGTAATGGGAATTCTTGTGATAAAAGAAGTGTAAGCCACCTATAAAAAAGTAATATAATACCTAGAAAATTCTCTGTAATTATTGCATATTTTAATTCACCTAAAACTGTAGTATTGGGGCCTCAGTTCTAGTTGCTGAAATCTGAGCCAAATATCAATATCATAGTTTTTCAGTTGAGCCAACATTCTGTTCATCATTTTATTGATTCCATTCTCAGATTCATCCAAACTTTTGATGAAAAAATCTCTAATTTCAGACATCAAATTTGTGAAACAGAAGAAACAATCTGCTTCAGCAAATTCTAAAATCAATAATTCAAAACTAGATCAACAATATAATAGGACTTATCAATTGCATAACAAATCTAAAATACTTCTTCACTGAACAACTTCAGAGTAAAATATAGGGTAATTCACAAGAACCTTAAGGTACCTACTATGGGTTTCCTAAATACAGTTATAAAATTCAATAGCATGACCCTTGGCTTTTTAACAGTTATCTACTTCACACATAGGTTATTTTTTGTTTTTGATATTGAGTCAACCATTTTCATTAACAGGATGCATACAAAAAAAATACCTCTAAATTCTTCATTAGGGTCACAGGCAAAGGCATGATATATGGGTCCTACAATCTCATTCATTCCTTGAACATAACCTTGTCCAGGATTTAGTTTAGCATACAAGAATAGTATCCTCTCTACCACTTCCCAATGAGCTTCTGCTCCCTCTGCCATTGGGGCATAGTTTTCATTTGCTTTTTTTATTGACAATGCAATCTGAAATATATAGAATCTGCATAACACACTGCAAATCCTGAAAAGTTTTTGATAGGAATCTGATTGCCAATATTGCCATCAATAGGCAAAAACCAAACTAGTTATTTCAAATGTTGTGTTTGATTCACCATAATTTCATGGTTTAATGTATTTGTATGAATAGAAGAGGCAGTTTGTATATTGTCATGTTCTATAATCAGTTCTTTGTTTATATACCTGATATATTGAGTTCAATGTTCAAAGTATGTATCAAAATATTGTACAGTACCTGCTACTAAAAATAATCCTATTGTACAACTGTTGGTGGAATGAGAAATCAAATTAGAGCAGAAAGAAATTCAGAGTTTAATTTTGTTCATACCTTTGTTATTCCTAATCCTTTCCTTTCAACATTTGCACATCTCAATACTTGGCGCTGTACTCTTGTGTGCAATCTCTTAACATTATCACTATTAACTATATCAGTACATGGGAATTCAGTAGGTTGTTGGAAGAATGATATATCAGGACATAATCTACGTACATCCTTGTCTATTTGCAATAGGACTTCATTATCCTTAAAAAAAGTTTGCCATTCACTATCTGGATTCATACTTAAAGGATGATCACTGAAGGTAACATCTCCATCTGATTCCCTTTCTCCAGGTATCACTATCATCTCCTCTGAAATAAAAATGAATTTTAGACCAAAATTAATATACATTTTTATAAGTCATAAGAGATAGATATTATCTACATACTTATAAATTGTTTGTATAGAGATCGTTGATCCATGAGATCTGTTTTCCATTTCGCTCGTTCTGTTGGCAAGTAATTCAGGAGCAATCTCCAACAAAGAGCTCTTTTACCCTGATCGTCTGGTATACCTTAAAATGAGAATGAAATGATTGGAGGGAGGATATAGATCAGAAACTCTCAGTTCCTAGACAACTCTTACCATGGAATGAAATTTCTTTTAAAGCGCTAATATCAATATCGTCTTTCTCAAGAACATCATCAAATTCTTTCAACCTACGAGCAATAATCATTAATCCAATAAATTTGAAAAATAAATGTTCAATAATTCAATCTCCTACCTTGCCTTGTATGCCATTTCCCAGATTTGATTTGACAGTTTGATTGACACTTTTAGCGAAACTGGTTTAGCCATGGTTGCCGATGTGCGAGATATTCTTCAAATTGTGAGTATTTTACTTGAGTTATGATTGAGAGATGCTTGTTTTACGGATGTGTAGTTTTTGTGTGATAAACAAGTGGATTTCCGGCGCTGCATTATAATTTATGCTAATAGAAGGAGAGATTATTTTCCTTGGCCGAATACGGCCTCTGCGATGGCTTTTCATTCGTTACGCTAAAAAATTACTTCGCGGCCTAGGCATACAAATAACTTTTTCATTCATTCGTACGCGAAGAGATCGGAGATCACTTCGCGTTCTCTACACAGTAGTAACCCGTAGCACACCCGTAGTCTCTGGCTCTATTCCACTGATACACTGACACTGACAGAAGGATACTGACAGTATATGTCTATCTATCTAGATTCACGGTAGCCAAGGTCATCTTCAAGGTCATCATCTGACGTTGCGATGACATTAAAACTACGGAAACACATTCTTGGCTATATTCCGCCCGCATTCAACTAGTCAGTACTGTCAGATCAACTGACTGCTGAAAATCTGTAAGCCGAAATATGAAATCAAACATATAACGCTGTAATTCGGAACACGTTTTCATTGTTTTCATCAGTAATCAGCAGCGGTTGATCAGCTGGTGAAATTTGAATATTCTAAGTATCAATTATTTTAATAAGAGGCATTTTCTGACATTATATGTGATATTAATTTATTATTGATATGACAAGACTTATTATTAAAAAACAAGGACATACCTTCTCTCTCAATTGAAACTTCTTTATACAAAAAATCCATCGCCCACACTTAAAATTCAATGTTTTAGTGATTTTGGAACATTTTTGAAAATTGTATATTTATTCGCGGTCGCCAAGGTCATCAGGTGTAGGAAATATCTTCAGATATCGTTATATCCTGTTGTTTTAGGTTCTTTGTCAAGATGGAAAGGCTTTTTAGAAAATTTTATTCAAATATAAAGTTCATGTACGAAAAATAACAATTCATGAAATTAACTAATGACATCAACTGACATCTGTTCTCTTCGCCGCCTCTTTCATAATACAGGATGATTACGTCAATTTTACAACATGAAAAATCATGAGTTTGAATCGTATCTCCAAAACCATACCCCAAAAAAAATTTGTATGTACACCACTGGATTATTCGTAAAATTCCCTATGGGATACTCTTAGATCATACAGGCTAAGGGGATACTAATTCAATTTGACATTTTCGCTGAGAAACTTCGTAGATATAGAGGGGGTTCAAAAAGTATAAATTTCCAAAATCGCCCTGTATCTCTTGAACGTCATGGAAAATCTGATTAGGCCAACTTCAGTTTCACAAAAAAGTGGCACAGGACCGCGAAAGCCGCAAGGTTCTATCCAAAGATAACTGAGATATCACACAAAAGTATCGAAAACTGGAGGTGGGCACATTTGTCAGCACCAAACCGCCGACAACTATCAGGCTATCAGCGACAGCGGAAGAGCCAGCGACTGCCTCCTACTGATGTTCATGTATCGGAATTATCGGAACTTGATTGTTGGTGAAATTGGCTACCTGGCAACATCGCGAGGCGAGTGCTAGCACTGCGAGAAAGCTGTCAAACCTCAAACCACAACACAACACCCAAATTGTCAAAAGTACTCCCTCAATAATAAAAATACAATAAAAATAGTTTTTTTTAGTCCTTCTGGAATTGAAAACAGTTGGAAGTTTATATGCAAACAACTCAAAAAAAGACCAGCACCTAAATGAAATCATCTATAAACGGTTTGAGGAAATGTCATATTAACATATGTAGCTGATTTCAATAGTAAATTAAGGTATGCCATATACATTTTCCAGTGATTATTTTCCAAATAATTGTTCTTGATTTTTTTAGATGCTTCAAAGTAAATGCCGTCATTCCAATGCATTACCTTATGAGATGTGTGTATTCTGCAATACTGATGCACCTGATTCCTTAGTTGACATTTGTTTCAACTATGTTAACAAGCATTTGGAAACAGTTTGCAAGTGTGATTCATCAACTGGTGATTTACAATTGATGGATGGCTTGGCCCTACCAGTGGAACTATGTGAACGCCTTCTGAATGTCAGGTGTAACAGTTTAACACCAGTTAATTCTAAGTTTATCAATATTTTCAAAAACACAGACTGTACCAGAATAAAACGTGTTAGACTGAGGAAGTCTGAAATCCAAGACAAAGACTTAGAGATTCTGCTTAAGCATAGATTAACTGAATTAGATATATCACATAGTCCTGGACTAACAGCAAATTGTATAAAGTATATAACAGGTTATGGAGGCAATCTAGTTTCCTTGGGTATAGGTGAGAATACTGAAATTTTCTCACCTGAAGGATACAGTAAGTTGGATCAAGAAGATTATGAAAATAGTTTCATATTTTTGACACCAAATCTGAAGAGATTGTCACTGAGAGGCTTGGCTTCCATGCAACCAGAATTTTATATGCTCTTACTCAATCCCCTAACAAATTTAACACATCTAGACTTATCCAATTGTAGTGATTTACATAATTTTTCTTATACAAAACATCTTTCAAACCTTCATTCTTTGATTTTGTACAATGTTAGTGGTATTGATTCTAAATTACATGCCATTTGCAAGCTTATCAACCTGAGGCATTTAGATATATCACAGTCTAAAGAAGAGAATGGTAAATATAAGAAAGGCACCAAAATACTACAAACAATTGTTGAGTGTCTCCCCATGCTAACATCATTGGATATATCTGGAACAAATTTAGCTGGAAGAGGAGTGGCAGAAACAATGTATGGTTGTGTATCAGATATACCTGGTTTGAACTCTAGGGTTAACAACCCATTTCAGTATTTGGGGCTTTATGAAACCTCCCATGATGCCTGCTTGAGACATGACATCCCAGCAAAATTGGTAATATGTGCTGAATTAAGATATATTTTTAGCCTTTCCTGTATGATTTTAGATTGCAGGTAATGCCAATGAAGAGCAAATATTGGTAGCCGCCTTAGCTTACTTAGATAGAACAGATATGCTGCAAAAAGTTATGAATGAGCTCTTTCACTTGTTTCGATTTGAGAATATTGAACATGTAGGGCAAGCCCTAAACATTGTTTTGGAAGCAATGAACCGGCACATAGATGAAAGACATATTCAAATATCAGGAAGGTTGGTACCTCTGAATAAGTAATAAGGGAAAAATTAATGGTCAAGATATTTTTGATGAAGTACATTTATTTTTTCATATTCTCATAAAAATTAGATCATATCCCTTTTCTTGAGAAAATTTGTTAGTTGGTGCTATTTTTTTTTACATATCAAATATTATTATACAGGGTGTTAAGAAATTCTACCAACAAGTTTTCATAGTTGATAGCTAAGATCATTAAGTAGTTAAAAGGAGATGAAAAATCAAAATAGTTTTTCAGGAATACCTCAAAAATGGATGAATTTTTCCCAGACAATTTTAGTATATGAATATCTCTTTAAAATCCTTTTTTTTTTGACTATACATAAACCTAGGTCATTTCACTCAGTGACACAGCACAAGGGGTTGTTATTTTTTCTCTGATATTTTGTACACTCCTAATTAATGAAATTTTTATTATTTTCAATCTTTTGAATTCCCTTTCAATTTTGTTAAAAATATGCTGACCTACATTTTCAGTAGCAGAATATATGAAATAACTATTTCTGCTCAGATATACTGGGTGTCAACGAATCTGATGAAGAAACCATAACTTGAATATTCAGTGTGTACCAAAATGAAATTTGTTGCTACATATTATATGAGGTATTTTGTCCTGTGAAGGCCCATATTCTGTTCAGTCCTGAGCAGTAGTTGAAGTGGTGTTCCTTGGCATTGCAGTCACATTTTTTGTCATTGGTAGTGTTTTATATATCAGCTATTCTTGCTTTTACATTTTGATACCAGCTTTCTTTTTGCCTAGATCTCAGTGTCTAGCTGTAGATATTATTCTTCCATATTTATACCTTTTTGAAATTTGGGTAATTTTGCACTTATCATGCGATGGTTTTTTTTTCGAAATTTTTTTATCGAAATATTTCAAGAAAAAGTTCGAAATTTTGCCTTACTTTTCCTCTAAGTGTTGGATGCATTTACAGGTACTTGCTCTTTTTATTTTGTCATTGGACACTTTATATACTCATGATGTACTTCCATGACACATTTTAAGCTAGAAAATTCAACAGGAAATATAATTTTTATGGTGAGTTTTTCCTATTTAGTGAGCAAGCATACCAGATGACGGCCATTTAATCCATAGGCAATCCAAATACGAGATGTCAAATTTCAATAGATTGCTTTGGAATGACATTACACACGCCATTATTTCAAATGATATTCTTCCTTCTTTTCACTAAACATGGATAAATTCACAAGAAAATCATATTTCTAGTTGACTTATATAATAAAAAAAATGTGTCCAACATTGTGTGATATACAGGCTGATTCACGGTGGATGGCACATTAGACGTTTATGGTGAACCAGACAACGGATCATTTTGAAAATTCGATAGAGGGCATATTCGGACATTCTCTAGCCAACTAAAATATTTTCGAAAATGCGGTGTTGCCGCTTCTATTAGAAAGCAGTAGAAACTTTAATTTTTCAGATGGAACACTCTGTATTTTATTGCATTTTGAGATTCTCCCTGAAGAGCAGATTTCATCGATGTATCACACTTGGGGTCTAGCGGGAATGATTACAGAGATATAGGGTGTGAAAAATCGACATTTTTCAACTTTAGGAATTTTTTTTGTCGAAACTATTCATTATTGGTCAAAACGGCTCACATGTCCCTATCTCAACTTTTGGTCAACTATCTACTAACATTTAATTGAAACAAATACAGGGTGGTGCAGAATTCAGAATCTTGATCACCCGGTATATGTCCCAATTAAATATCAGTAGATAGTTGATCAAAAGTTGAGATAGGGACATGTGAGCCGTTTTGACCAATGATGAATAGTTTCGACACAAAAAAATCCTAAAGTTGAAAAATGTCGATTTTTCACACCCTATATCTCTGTAATCATTTCCGCTAGACCCCAAGTGTGATGCATCGATGAAATCAGCTCTTCAGGGAGAATCTAAAAATGCAATAAAATACAGAGTGTTCCATTTGAAAAATCAAAGTTGCTAATGCTTTCTAATAGAAGCGGCAACACCGCATTGTCGAAAATATTTTAGTTGGCTAGAGAATGTACGAATATGCCTCCCATTGAATTTTCAAAATGGTCCGTTGTCTGGTTTACCAGAAACGTCTAATGTGCCATCCACCGTGAATCAGCCTGTATATAAATTGTCCAATGATGGAAAAAGAAGGGCAAATTGTTCTAAATGCCATCCAAAGACAGGCAGAAAAGAAGGTGAAATTTGTAACTTTATAGTGAAATATCTTGATAAATAATGGTTTGTTCACATTTTCATTATCAAATTCGTGTTTTTCAGACAAAAATACGTAAGTACCAAAAAAACAAATTCGGAAAAAAACCCATCGCATGATAAGTTTTACTTGTTCTGTTGGTGTCCGCCTTTGATGTTTAACCTACCCTATGTATAATTTTTCAAAAACTACCCGCTCTTAGATCCTTGGATGTATAGCTCGCATATTTCAAAAACAAAAGTAAATAATTTCATGAGTGGCTCCTGGCGCTAATGTGGGTTCTAGATATTTGGAATTGCAAGGATTCACCCTGATTCGCCGACTATCATCTTTCGACAGGCGCGAAATATTCTCATTGATAAAATATTGTTACTCTGCTACTTACTCAGGTCAGTTGAAATCGTTTGAATATTCGCGAAGGGATCATTATTACCAGCTCATTGCATTTTTTCAACTTGTTATCACCTGACGGAAGTATGTTCGGAATGACGGCAGAAAAAATTGCTTGAGATAGTGATTTACATAGGTGCCTTTCCATAAAATACTATGCTTTTATATGCCTTCGAGACGTATCATTTTGATAACAGATGACAATCAATATGATGGTCGAAACTCGCAGCTGGCTCTTGGACTGGAGGTGATTCGTTGCCACTAATTTTTATGGTATTTTTTTTTATCTCTTAGAGCGCCCGAAAGGATATTCCTATCGTGCGTACCTAGGAAGGACAGAGAGAGAGGAGGTGGGTTTTGCAATTTTTTTATAAGTTCTTGGGAATACTTCCATTGGCAAATAATTCCAAATCTTTGCCGTTTTTGTTGAAGTGTTGTTTGACATATTCCAAGATTTACAACGAATGAATGGTCTGACTGGGCCTGTCGAGTTCGTCTGACTGGTATTGCTAGTGATGGAATTATAGCAGAGATTTCTGAGGAACATTTCCCGTGTATTTATCTAAATAAAAGTGAAAGGTCACCGACTTTTCTACGGTGTTCTAATGAGGGGTAATCCACTCCCTCAAAAACGTACACGGATTGGATAGATTGGACGTAAGATTGGACCGATATTATCGAATATTGGACATTTGCATTGCGAGAATATGAATATTAGGCTAAGACTGGACCTTGGATTGGACAGATTTCATCGGGATTGGACACCAAGTGTACACATATTAGACATAGTGGTTGATTCCTCGCTGAACTCCATGTGTGAGAACAGTATAATAAGAAGCCGAGTATCTTTCACGTTGGATCGGACATGATTTTCCAATGAAAGAGTATTGCTGATGGAAATACCGAACTTAGATATAATGGTAATGGTTTGAATGGAGGTACCTGAAATTGATGTTATATCAGGCATACTGAGTTCCGCCTTTCTAGAAAAATACTGGCTTGAGTTTTGGTGGCGTTGGATTCAACTGGGTTTTTGGTCCCCACGCTGTAATTTCAGGAAGATCATCATTGGTTCTGTACCGGAAGGGGACTTTTCTCAGGGGATGAGTAAATAAATGTGGTTCTTCAAGAGTGTTTCTTGGTGGAGTGCCGTTTATTATGTAAGAAGGGGGCGACCGAGCTTGTAGAAGACACAGACTAAAAACTAATACCATGGTTTAACACGTGAATATTCGGCCTTTGCCATACTTAACGCTACATGCACATTTCCTCGATTGACTAATCTATAATCGAAAACTCTTTACTCACCTAATACCAGGAACACTTGGGAAGATTACTAAAGTAATTTTACAAGATGAATCCAAAAGGTTATTGATTTAAAGCCACTATATCTTTGGAAAGCTCGCTGACAACAAACTAGATTTGCAAAAAGTCGGTAGTTCTAAATTCGACAAAAAACCGAGTAAATAATGTTCAATATTCGGAATAAAATGGTACTGCTCGCGCCATCTAGTTCTGCTCATATTGACGAATTATTAGCGATTAATAATAAGAAGTAGGTTTCTGTAGGTCGCGTATATAGTACCCAAATAGCCAAAGTACCTATATGATTCTACAGCTCGTAGGATTCTGTTACAGTTCTTAGTTTCCTGGGAAGAAATGAGATCTTTAGAAGAGAACACAGTATTGAGAGCACTATCGTCTGCTTTGGATAGGGCGAGTGGTTGCTCCCAACAGATCATTGATATTAAATCGCCGGAATTGATGGCAATGGTATCAGACGATAGTTTCCTGGGAAGAAATGGGATCTTTAGAAGAGAACACAGTATTGGGAGTACTATCGTCTGCTTTGGATAGGGCAAGTGGTTGCTCCCAACAGATCATTGATATTGGATCGCCGGAATTGATGGCAATGGTATCAGACGATACTACTTCCACCACCACATGAAGCGATCTACCTGAAAGAAAACTGAATAAGAGATGGCATAGCTGAGGTGCGAAGCCGTATGTATGATGGTAGTTTTTGGAGGAGTCCTTGGTGCCAAACACGGTCGAATGCCTTCGATATATCCAACGCCATAGCTACAGTGGCATATATGGTTGACGTAGGCAAATGATCCTCCAGTTGATCTTCGGTGACGAAAGCCTTATTGTCTATCGTTATTGATTCCTGAGCTTTCCACATATTTGATGAGCTAAATGTTGATGACTTTCTTCATCACTTTGGAGATGAATGATAACAGGGCAATTGGCCTATAGTTGTTAAGAAGGCTTTTGTTTCCTTTTTTGGGGATTGGTTGGACTCTAGCTATTTTCCAGCAAGATGGATAAATACCCGACTTGTACGAGATGGTGAATAACTTGCAGAGAATCGGTGTCAATTCTGATGCACACTTTTTGAGAATAATGGGTGGAATTCCATCAGGACCGGTAGCCTTATTCGTTTTGAGACCGAGTAGAATGCGCCTGATACTGCGTTGACGAAAGACGATTTCGATTCGACTTTCAACGGGTGGAATGTCTGGTGGTACTCTTCCCTGGGAATCTAAGGCGGAGTTTGCTGCGAACATCTCTGCAAAACTGTTCGTTTTCTCTTGCGATGTTGTTGCTAATGTGCAGTCGGCTTTAGAGAGTGGTAGGAATGAACTATTGGAATTCCTTTCGACTGCTTTAGCGAGAAACCAAAACGAACGGGAGCTATTCGGAAATCTATGAGTTTTGATCTCATTTTGGCATTATTTTGATGCATCTATTGTGTGGCTGCAGTTATTCCTGGCTTCAACATATTCTGCTCTAGGCATGTGGTTAGGGTTTTTGCGCCAGCGATGGTGCGCTGTTCGTTTCAAGGCAACATCAGTTCTAGAACAGTTCTTATTGAACCAGGATTTCGAAGGTGATGATCTTTCCGAAGAATGAGGTATGTAGGTGTCCATTCCAATATATTTGGGGTGAAGTTAGGCCAAAGGCCAATTTTTCACACGAATGTTTTCAATTCTATTATTTTTCAAAATTTTTCTGAATGGTTTTAATATCTCAAAAACATAATGAAGTCACAGTTTCAGTCAAACGGTCAAAATTTGCCATTCATCGCAACTGACGTCACGACTCAGTGAGTGAAACACATAGTTCCCAGATGTCAAAATACATCGGGACATAACAGACATTTTCAGGCTAAACATTCCTAATTCATAATTAATTGCCCTCCTAATGTGTGGGAATATTCCTAGTTGCTTTATTCTCAACTGGATAATATTCCCTCATGCAGGTAATAGATGTGTTTGAGTGTATGAGACAAAAGAAATTCATTGTGAAATGTGTGGCTACATCGCTCCGCTGCGCGCTGTTGCCGAGTTAGCAACGGATACTTACCGAATGTTTGTTCACATGGCAGGTGGTTTAGGTCGCGCCATTATTAGGTACTCATAAAATGCAATAATACATTGCCCTACCATTTTTCCATGGGATGAAAATGTGCATTCTGTTCAATAATCGTCAACTAGTTGATACTACTAGGGATATTTCAAATGGTAATACAGACGAGTTCCATTATAGCTCAACTATTACAAGCACGTTGTTTGAATCAGACCGTAATTTTTATCAACTCTGAATAGCGCATTGGCTCAGAATTGACTACAAAAATACACTCAATTGGTAGGAATCAACATTTTTTTGAGGTCTGTAACGAAGTGTAATTGTTGAATGTGAAAAAGTCAATACAGTTCAGTAGCCTATACGGACTCGAATATGCACCGTTGATTCTGATTATCTCATAAAATACAGGGTGTTCCATTTGAAATAACGAAATTGTAGCCCACTTCCGATGTAAGTGGAATCCCTAGCTGAAGAGCTTTCCATCCACTCGGCAATACCCCCAACTCGATATTTCATTTCGGCAAACCAACAGTTTTTTTGAATCACCCTGTATCAAGTTGTGTAATATAATTGGTCAAAGCAAATAAATTGCGATTTTTACAATTGAATTTCTGTTCGCAGTGCCACCTTATTTTATATAGTGAAAGGCACTGGCAGAGAACTACATGACGATGTAAACGTGAAAAGAAAAATAATAACCACTCTTTTAAATGGCATGAGCGCTCACAAGAAAGACGATACGATGATGAGAAATGGCTGTTTGACATTGTGCCAATTCAAAATACCCATGGATGTGGTAATGTTCGAATTAATCAATCAACCAATCGTTTCGTTAACATGGTCCGTTTTTTTGCAGCTGTTTGACTATGAAAGACTCGTTAACATCCTTTTGCACTCTGTTGACGGAATGGCACAAGAAAGTTTTGTTCAGAGAATAGGCATATATTTGCTCAACTCCTTGGCTTGTCAAGTGGACGGTGATCAAAAAGTTAAGCTGGGCGAACTAGGCGCGATTGAAGTGAGTTATTGAATCTCAATAGGGACAATTCAATGGGACATTGGTACTTACAGAAAATGATATGGTTGATACGGGATAGATTAGACAGAGGAATATGTGATGATGTCCTAGAGGTGGCGTGGTCCACCATGTGGAATGTCACGGATGAAACGCCAGAAAATTGTAGGAAATTCCTGGAACATATGGGTATGCAACACTTTTTGCTATGCCTTGAGGTAAGTGCCATTTAACAATCATTAAATTATTTGAACATAGGTAGTAGTGGGAATTACGACTTATTTCCTTTTGCATCTTCATGACGCTTGATCTTCTTTGTATGGGCTAATGATGTGATATGTATGAGCCCAAAACACATGCCATTAATAAATGTCATAGAGGTAGATAACTTCTCATCATTATAGCTAATTATTTTGATGAGGATTATTAATAATCACTTCCAGGGCGCTGAGATGTCAAATCTCATTCAAAAATTATTGTTTAACAGTTCTCAAAAACTCACTGATGTACAATTCAAAAAGAGAAAAGAACTTCAAACTCTAATGGTTCGAAAAGAAACAAAATCAAAATTGTGATAAATTTGTGCTGGTGCATTAATTTATTTCTCCAATGTAGTTGAGACGATTATTGGATTAGTTATATGTTGGACGACAAACTAGAAAATTCATCAAAACTCGGTACAAACGAGGTTGGTAGAGCTGATGATTATCTGTAGAGGAAGGTTTTCACGATAGGGAAGCAATAATTTGTGACGTCATCATATACAAAATTTCATGTGGGGCTCATAGAAATCTAATTATAGTTCCAGATCACGACTGAATTGGTGAATCTACTTGAAGACAGTTATAGAACACAGATTTTCATAACTCCAAAATGAAATTTTCTATACAATGGCATTATGAATAATCACTTCCCTTCATTTTCTGATCGAGACAACCTTCATTCTCCTATTTGAATAATCATCAGTGTATGTATGTATGTATGTATGTATGTATGTATGTATGTATGTGTGTGTGTGTGGGAGGTCCGGGACCTGACGCACTTAGGCCTCCCTTTTCGGGCCCATTGTGCATCCACATTCCTGAGATCGCAAGTCAGCCATGGAGAAGTCCGATCTCGCGAGCAAAAGAGACCAACTTTCTAGGCCGAATCTTTTTAACATCCTCTGGGTCCAGGATACTGCTCCCAAAATGGATATCCCTTGCTGCCACGCCGGGCATTCAGTGAGGATGTGAGTAGAAGTCTCTTCATCCTCTAGGCACCATCTGCATTCAGGACCCTCCACAATCCCGATCATGCTGAGATATTTGTTCAGGTGGCAGTGCCCTGTCAGAAGGCCACCACCAGTTTCAGCTCCTTCCTGTTCAAAGCCGAGAGGGCATTGGTCTGTCTTCGTGACGGGTTTCTTGTATGGAGTTTGGACTGCCTCATTCCAGGAGCCTTTCTCCAGCTGTCCTGAAACCTTTCCGTCAGGATTTCCTTCATCTTGAAGTTGCTCCAGGATCGAGTGACCCCTAAGATTGGCTCTGGGCCAATCACTGAACCCTTCGCCCCCTTTCTGGCCAGACCATCGGCCATTTCGTTACCTGGTACCCCTGAGTGTCCAGGGACCCACAAAAGACATACTTTGTTCGTTGCTGACAGCCTTTGTAGGCTATCTATGCACTCTGACACCAAGGTGGAGGTCACCCTATACGAGGTGAGCGCCTTGATCGCCGCCTGGCTGTCAGTGCATATTGTGATTTGCTGGCTGTGATAGCCCCTCTCGATATTCTCTCGAACACATGCAAGTATTGCAAATACTTCAGCCTGAAATCGTGGCATGTTTCCTAAGGGTATAGTAATGATTTGCCCTTGGGGACTGCCCATAGACCCCAGCACCTGCGCATTCTTCCATCCTGGAGCCATCTGTATACCAGATGATGCCCTTGGTGGGTATTATGCAGTGCCCATTCTGTTCCCAGTCTATCCTAGTAGGAATTTTGACTTGGGGCATTTTCCTGAATCGAATGATCGGTGTTATGCTGTCCCCTTTCATACTGAGTGAGGGGTAGTCGTCTGTAATTTGCTTCCAGAGGCGAGAATGTCCGTATGTTCCTTCGCTCCTCCACTGGTTACAGTTTTGTAAGCGAACGGCGGCCTTTATCGCCTCGTGTTCTATATACAGGTTCAGAGGCGGCACTCCCGTCAGAGTCTCCAGCGACTTGTCGGCGCCGTCCTCATTGCTCCTGTTATGGATATGCTGGCCAGTCGTTGAACTCTGTCTTGCCTGTCAGCGTCCCCGGCCACCATACGATGGCCCCATATGTTATCATTGGACGTATGAGGGCGGTATACATCCAGTGAAGGATACTTGGTTTGAGCCCCCACGTTCCCCCAAACGTCCTTCCGCACGCCCAGAACGCTGCCGTAGCCTTCTGGACCTTCCTCTCAATATACTCGTTCCAATTGAGCCTAGAGTCAAGAATGACTCCTAGATATTTGGTGGAGCCTTTATACCGCAGGGACTTACCCGATAGTCGTATATCGGGGAGGTCCCCTGCGTTTTCTGGTGAAAAGTACTATTTCCGCCTTTTCAGGGTTAGCTCTTAGCCCCGTGCTACGACACCAGCGGTCCACCCCGTCCAGGGCTCGTTGTGCCTGTCTCCGACTGGGAGTGATCCCCCTACTGTCGATCAGGATGACTATGTCATCTGCGTAGGCCTGGATATAGTATCCCATGCTATGTATCTTCGATAGGAGGTCGTCCACGACGAGGCACCATAGAAGGGGTGACAGCACCCCTCCCTGCGGGCATCCTCTTGATACAACGGCCTCCTCGAGGCTGTTCTGGAGAGTGGCTCTCACTATCCTTCTAGAGAGGAGTGCGTGTATCCACTTTATCAAAATTGGACTAACACCCCTCTCCTCCGCTGCATGACATATAGAGTCAAATGATGTATTGTCAAATGCTCCCTCAATGTCTATGAATATCATTAGGGCAGAGTCCTTGCAATCTACCACCCTCTCAACTCTATGAACGAGTCGATGAAGAGCCGCGTCAGTACCCCTACCACTTTCGTACGCAAATTGCAGGTCACTGAGTGGTGATTCGCTCAGTGCCCCTCTCTGATGTGACGATCTACCAGTTTTTCTAACGCCTTTAACAAAAACGATAATCATCAGTTCTACCACCCTTGGGTTCAAGGATCATCTATTATATTTGAAGTATGACCACAGAACTTTGAATTCTGTGAGTATTACAGATTAGATGAACAAAAGACATCAACATCAAAGAGTGAGAAAGTGGATATATTTCTCAACAATTTTTGGTTTATCCAGTTTAATCTGAAAGGGTCTAATTTATGACTTAATTTGTATATCAATGACATAATTCCATAAGAAACGAAATGTTGTAAGCACCAAGGAATAGAAATTACTACTAAACTTTATGAATTAATTATTAATGCCGCTGCAATAATTCATGTATTCAGCATTTTTTGTACTTATTGAATGATATGAATGATTATTTCTATTGCAGAAATTTCCTGACAAAGAAGAACTTCTCCGTAACATGATGGGTTTGTTAGGAAACGTAGCTGAAGTGAAAGAACTGAGAGATTTTCTGCAAACTTCAGAATACCTATCGGTTTTTTCCACTTTGTTGGACTCTGAAAGCGACGGCATAGGTAAAAAATAAATTAAAATACAATTTGTGTGAATAGTAGGTCAATCCATTATCTATAGGTATTACATTTATTTGAATTTTCATCTTGAACCCCAATGAAATTTCAATTCGGACTTTTTTCTCCAATGAACTGAGCATTAATGTCAAATTTGGTACAATGCTTCAATATAACAGAAATGAAACAGGACCTAATATCAATCCTTGAGAGACCCCACATATTATTTCATTTACTTGAAACTTGCTCCAAATAACAAATTGTTTCCTTTCACCAAGATTTAACTCACTAAAAAACTAACTCACCAAAGAACCAACTCACCAACGATCCAATTCATTAAAGCATCCAAATCATTAACACCCAACTCACCAACGATCCAACTGATCAACGACACACCTCATCAACGCATCAATTCCATCAACACCCAACTCACCAACTATCGAACTGATCAATCACCCAAATCCTCAACGTACCCATTTCATCAACACCCAACTCACCAACGGATCAACAACACACCCCATCAACGGATCAATTTCATCAACGACCCAACTCATCAACGGTCAACTCATCAACGACCCAACTCATCAACATCCCATCTAATCAACTACCCATCTCATTACTACCAATCTACTAGCTACACCCTTCAACTCAACAATGACCCAAGACCCAAAATATGCCTATTCAATAAGCATTTAACCATTACATCAACTGATTAAAAGTCAATCATCCTTAGCTACAGTTTTAGTCCCTCGATATTCTGAAAGTATGGAGAAGATTCGAGACTGATATATGTGATATATTATAGATGTCTACAAATAATAACAAATGATGTAAATGTGGTCTGCCTTCCACATCTATGTTAAGTTATAATGTAATAATTATCGTGGTAATAATGTATGAGTTGTTGGCATTTAAACATTGAAAAAAAAAGAAAATAAGAATTAGAAACCAGTTCAGCCACACACGTTTTACGGTACATTGACGTCAGTTTGAGAGAATTGAGTTGTGGAACATTCGTTATAAAAAATTGAAGGCATATGTATATATCGGCGTCAATTAGTGAAATCCGTCATTCCCTGAAATGCCTAATCATTTCAAGTAATGTTGGCAAACAGCGTAACAGCGTAACTTCCATTTTTAGCCGTTACTCCGTTTGCCGGAGGGTTGGGGAAGGAAAATATCCTTTCTGCATATTCATAAGAAGGGAGACTATTGTAAAACTGCATTTAGCATGCGATGGTTTTTTTTTCGACAATTTTTTTGGGTACTTACGTATGTTTGTCTGAAAAACACGAATTTTTGACAATGATAATGTGAACAAACCACTATTTATCGAGATATTTCAAAAAAAAAGTTCGAAATTTCGACTCCTTATTCCCCTTGTGTTGGATGCATTTACAGGTACTTGCTCTTCTTATTTTGTCATTGGACACTTTATATACTCATGATGTACTTCAATGACACATTTTTATACAGAAAATTCAACAGGAAATATGATTTTTATGGCAGTGAACACGAATACCAGATGACGGACATTTAATTAATAGTCAATCCAAATACGAGATGTCAAATGTCAACAGAGTGCTTTTGAATGACATTACACACGAATTTAAAACAATTTACCCTTCTTTTTTCATCATTGGACAATTTATATACAAGGTGGGCCAAAAGAAGTCATCCGATGTTATTTGGCTCTCATTTTTTTTCTAAATGAAAAGCTTCGATTCTGTTTTATAATTATGTTTATTTAAACCTTTAGAATTTTATTGGCCAAGTCGAGAAGATGATATCGGCCAAATGGGCGCCGCCACAATTGATTGCTATACGGGCTCGTTTTATGGCAGTTTTCATCACTTCGGCGAGATCTTCGGGCGACAGATTCTGGCACTCGTGTCGAATGTTGTCCTTGAGGGCTTCCAGGGTATCAGGCTTGTTCACGTAAACACTAGCCTTCAAAGAACCCCACAAAAAAGTCTGAAACGGTTGAATCGGGCGATCTTGCGGGCCAGCGCACCATGCAGTCACTTTGAGCGGGTGTAATGGCTCCTCGTGCATCACTCGTGGATTTTCAGTGCCCCAGAAGCGATAATTCTGCTTCTTCACGTACCCGCTGAGGTGGTGTATTCTACATCTGTCTAGTTCACAAATGTCGAAACAGACCTGACATTGGCCGCCATTTGCAAAAATAAGAGCATCTTCCAATAGGGTGATTTCTTTTGGCCCACCTAGTATATCACAATGTAAGACACATTTTTTTCTATTATTGAGTCAACTAGAAATATGATTTTCTTGCGATTTATCCATATTAATTTAGTGAAAAGAAGGAAGAATATCATTTGAAATAAATATGATATTCTTCCTTCTTTTCACTAAATATGGATAAATCACAAGAAAATCATATTTCTAGCTGACTCAATAATGTGTCTTACATTGTGATATTAAAAAATTGTCCAATGATGAGAAAAGGAGGGTAAATTGTTTTAAATTCAATCCAGAAGACAGGCGGAAAAGAAGGTGAAATCTGTAACTTTATAGTGAAATATCTTAACAAATAATGTTTTGTTCACATTTTCATTATCAAATTCGTGTTTTTCAGTCAAAAATACGTAACTACCAAAACAAATTTTCGAAAAAAAAACCATCGCGTGCTAAATGCAGTTTTACCGGCCATATAATCGGACCATTGATGAATCAGGTGGTTGATGAGTTGAATCATTGATGCGTTGAGACGTTGATGTTTTGACTAGTTAAATGAATTGAGTGTTGACGAGCTAGGCCGTTGATGAGTTGGGTTATTGATGAGTTGACCTTTGGTTAAATCCGACTTGTTAATGTCCGTCGGTAAGCTGGGTTGGCCCGGAAAATCCTATGACAATTTTTTTTTATTCAATCTATAGGGTGTTTCCGACATTGGAGCAATAAATACAAAATTTTTAGAGCTATCGAAAATTTTCAAAAAATTGATGATTCAACTCGCCATTGTTTAGAAAGCACTGGTTTGATTCCCCAAAAAGCACTTGAGGATGGAACCGGAACAACAAATGTATGGGAATAGTAATAATGTGTGTCTCGTACAAAAACTGAATAATAATAAAACTTTAGTATGTACGTCTGTCTTCACAGAGCTTCAACATTGAACCGCTTGGTTCACTTGGTATTTTGGCTACAGTACGATACAGTACTTTCAGAGCTTTCTCGAAAACAGCAGAGATTTTATTGAAATTAGCTTTTGAACGGGATCCCCATATATCAATTAAATTTTTTAATCCTACTGAGAATATGTGAATATACATATAAATTAGCTATTTTGGGATTCGATTTGGGAAATCTTCTCAGGGCTCCTATAATAGAAGACATTGTTTATGTTAGATTATCAGTAATAATACTATAATAGTGGAGTAAAATCCACCGAAAAAGTCGCTCCGTTCTCGAAAAAAAATTTTTCAAGGTATAACCAGTTCCGACCTTCAAAATATAATGAAGTACATATTTTTCTATCAGAATATCATTGGACGACATTTTTGAGTGGGGACGAACTTTTTTATTTAGAAAAAACTGAAAAAATAAAGAATTTTCTAAAACACAGATTTTGAAATATATCTCCTCGTAACTCTAAAACTACAATAGGTATGGAGATCATTTTTTTTTCAATAGAAAACGAATTCTTTTCTGCATCTCACGATGGTATGATTACAGTATAAATTATCATCAGTTTTTTGTTAATTGATTGAGAACGCCAGATATCACTTTTCATGATATATTTTTTTCAACAATCGACAAACTTTTTTCTTGTTGATTTTTTTTGTATATATGCAGCGAATAAAATGTTGACAAATAGTCATGAAAGTTTTTGAAATAACAGAAATTTGTATATGTAGTATAGTTTTCGAAATATGATTTTTCAAAGATGTAGGTACGCATGGCATGAATATGCCTTTAGCGACAAGAGCGTGTTGGCGCGACTATAGAGCGTAGTTATAGGTTGTAGGGCAGTATGCAACAATCTGTTGAAGATGCAGTGTGTCATTTGCAAAAAGAGTGTATCATATAATGATAAAAATATTACAAAAAAATCCACGGATACAAGGCCTGCTCTCGTTATTATCAGCAGCGGAAAGAAGAATCAAGAAATGATATTTGTGTAGAATGTAGAAAAAGTTACACCAGCATGCACAATATTCAAATATTGCCGAATTTCACTGGTTGTCAGAAAAATACAGAAGCGGGACCATCAACTCGGAATGCAAATGTCATTTTTGATATTGGAAGAATGTGTATCATTTGTGATAGGGGCGGAAAGAGGAAACATCAGAAATTAGTATCTGTTCAAACAGGTACCTATGTGAAAATGTTTTCGAATTATAAGGACATTCGATAATATTTCATTGAGATCTCAATATCATTGAAGATTGAAAGAATAAGGATAATATCATTATTCAATAATATTATATATTTTGAACAATCTCGAAATAATTTTCATTTGAAATTAACGAACTTTAGAAATCTCATTATTCATTTGCCATATCAAAAAAAGCATACTATGAGTAGAATATCAATTATTATGAACTGATCTGAATGTCAATCATTCGGGAAATGAGTATACATCATGTCGTGACGATTTGACTAAAAATATAGATATAAATAGGACATGTTTTATTTTTGAATTATAATGTGTAGAAATATTCAAACCCAAAATTACGAATTAGGATGAATACAAAATTATGATTTATAGTTGATTTTATTTAACGATAGCATGATTTTATTTAACGATAGCCATTTTAATAAATGCTATCGAATTATAGGAACTGAAAAGAAAAGTTTTGATAAAATAGTTGACTCAGCAAAGAAACGGAACGATATAAATATGATTGGGAAAATTTCTGGATATTTGCTCATGATGCAAAAAGTATCACAAGTCTTGTTACAGTCAATATATTGCCCCAAGGAATATTAAATCATTTATAAATCTGTCGAAACAGAAAAAACATCATCAATTATATCACCAA